TCTCTCTCTCTCTCGCTCTCTCTCTCTCTCTCTCTCTCTCTCTCTCTCTCTCTCTCTCTCTCTCTCTCTCTCTCTCTCTTTCACGGCAAGCTGGCCAAACTAGCGCGGTCATCCCCTAGGACACCGGGCGCATCCGATTGCGGGGCGCGGACGTGCGGATGAGATTACCTGTTGATCGGAAATCCTTGGTTTGGCGAGGAGAACGGGCGGGAGGGTGGGAGGGAGAGGATTGATAGGATGCCGAGGTCCGTTGCTCAACGAGGCGCATGCCTGGTCGAAAATATTTATGCTAATCCGCAGATGCTCGCGGGACTCTACCTTTTACTCATATTTTCTTCTTCTTCTTCTTCTTTTTTTATTTTTTTCAATTTTATTTACGGGTCACGTGACCACGTTCCACGATCGCTCGCATTTAGCTTGGCGAGTTATATAAGAGCAGTAAATTTAGGGAAAAATATTCGAAATCGAATATTGTTTTGGAAGACGTTTGGATTGGGGCGTTACCAACTACTAGTCGCGAACAAAAGCAACCAGACTGAAATACTTGTAGACTGGTAGACTGGTCCTCACGGTTGCAATGCACACTCCATTATGTGCTATAATCAATTAATTAATCAAGTTTTTTTTTACAACGCGTGCTTGTTGTTATATGGGCGCGGACAGGCGATTAATAAATAACTCGTAAAAAGGGGATTTCATCAAATCGCGGAAAAAGTTGTTTGATTCGACGTGCATATAAGCAAAGACGAACCTTTTCATTTTAACTATTTCTTGTAGTGGATTGTTATTTCGTACAAAACTTCCATATTTAATTGAAATTTGATATATTTCTTATTCAAAAACGATGTTTTCTATTACTTTTATTTCTTTTTCTTTTTTCTATTTTTTTTTTTTTTTTTTTTTTTTTTTTTTATTTTTCTTGTGTGGTATTAGCAGTCAAACAATAATTTTTCGGATTTAAAATATAAATGTTGACATCGAATGAAATGATAAAATTTAAATCGTGTAAATATTAAAATTCGTGTATAATATCGTGAAATTGAATTTTTGAACTTTAATTTACGTAAAGAAAGAATTGTCTAAATATAAATATAGTTTTTCGTGACAGTAATCATCTATTAATATCTATTAATATTTTCATAAAACGATTCTTCGATTTATGTTAAATGCAAACAGGATTGCAAAACATTCATAACAGTGAAATACGATCTGTACGTTCAATCGTTTATTTATTTATTTATTTATTTAAATTTTTTTTTTTTTTTTACTTTTTTTAATGTTCATTAGTTAAGAAAAAACAACTCAGATTAAATATGTGCGAGGAAAGTGAAACCGAAGTCAATAAAACTCTTTATTTACACTGATATCTCTTAGCTATTTTCTCAGCTTTCCTAGTCCTCACTATATAACATGATATCTGAGATCATTAATGTTTATTACGTAACTCGAATAAATAGACGATGTAATTTATTTTTTATAAAATCCGACGTTCTTTGGTATTTAACTTTCGTCTGCACCAATATTTATATATACTTAAAATCATTCCTATATACTCTTGACAACAATATTAGTAGTAGTAGTAGTAGTAGTAGTAGTAGTAGTAGTAGTAGTAGTAGTAGTAGTAGTAGTAGTAGTAGTAGTAGTAGTAGTAGTAGTAGTAGTAGTAGTAGTAGTAGTAGTAGTAGTAATAATAATAATAATAATACGAATGATAATAATAATTATAATGACAACAACGATGACGACGATAATGATAAAAACAACAACGTCCGTGACAACCGTACTACCGACTATAATAACGACCGACAACAACGACAGCAGCAACTATTTTACTAAACAGCAACGTTGAAAATTGCAATCTATACACTTGTAAAAATTTAACAACAAAATAAAAAAAAAATAATTTTTATGTCAAATATGTTTAAATGAAAAAATGAATTAACTCAATTCATTATGGAAAAAATCATAGGCTGAGTTGGTGTTGTTTTTCTTTTTATTTTATTTTATTTATTTTTTTTTGTTTAATAAGAAAAAATGATATTATTCTTCTCATTGTTACTAATAAAAATTATCTTCATAATCTACAGCTTTAATTCTGGGAAACAATATTTTTTATCTTACAAAGCTAAAGAAATTTTCGGTTTTGAATCGTATAATGTTATTGTATCAAGATAATATGCTATTATTAAATATTAAAAGATATTTTTTAATCATGAGCGAACTACTGTTATTCTAAAGTTTAACATTAATTTTATTTAAGAATTTAGCCGTTCAAGGCATCGTTACATACTTATTTTCCAATTTGCCGTTAATTATGAAATTGTCTTAATGTTTGGTGAAAAATGTATTTGAGCTTGAGATAGTTGGGATTGACGGTAATGTAAAATATATTGTTAGTTCGTTTTTATTTATAGGCTTTTGCGATGAGAACGACAGAGTATGGCGGGAGGGAGGAGGATGAGACGGATGAGGCATTGCATATCAGCAATATTATTGTAAGAGCAAGAGTTGCTTGTACATTGAGCCAAGCAATTACTGCTTGCATATCAAAGAAGTTAGAAGCAAATGTGGGTGCGTGTGCTTGCCCGCGCGTGCTAAGAAAGTGGGAGACACACAGAGAGAGAGACACACAGAGAGAGAGAGAGAGAGAGAGAGAGAGAGAATAATATAAAGTATCTGTAAGCGACTCGTTGGGGCAAAATATTGCCGATATAAAGCGGGAATCTCATGCACGTGTATGAGTGCCTTGTAGAATTGGTAGACTTTATCGATATCACGACGAGGATTTGCAGCTGCGATTAAAGGCCAAACGTCGAAAGCTGCTTGGAAACATTACGTTAACATTTTTTTTCCTTCAATCTATTTGCTTTTGCGGACGTCACGTCTAATCGCAATTGTCGAGTTTAAGTGCGAAAATATGCAAAACGAATTCTGCTGGACAGGGCCGTAGATACGCCAGGGTAGAGGAACATGAATTTTATGAATCTAATAACTTAAGCTAAAAAAATATTATCCCAACGTGAAGACTTTAATTTCTCGCTCAAGTCTTGTCTACATATGTTTCGCCTACATCCCTATTTCGCCCGATCCAAGCATATCTAAAAGCAATTTCGAGAACTCGACATTGAAGATATAGTTGGGACACGACGCAACGGCTCTACAACATTACCATAACACATCGACCGAGCCACTCAAAGGCAATATTTCTAATATAGGCCTCCCACGTAAGGGCGGGAGGGGTAAGGAGGGCGCTGACGCTTCCGTTGTTTACCATAATCGCTGATGCAGTCGCGGGTACATTCGCCGTCCCTGGTAAAGAGTCCGTCCCGAAGAGAAAAACCAAACCACCCCTTGCCCCGCACCTGGGTAAGACGAGTCGAGTAGCGAGGCTCATTGTGCGCCGCGTGCGGCATATGCACCAGATGTTACGTAAACTTCGAGACGCTGCGCAATACGCGTCTGCCTTCGGGGAGATCGACGTGACGCGGCACATTGGCCCCCATCTCGCGACCACGAAACTACGGATCTGAGCTACAGGTAGTTGCGAGAGGTGTGCATCGAACTGTTTGTGCCGACAAGCGTATAGAGAGGCCGGGTGGACGGGGCGATGGCGGAAGGGGGCGGTGAGGTGGGGGGAAGAGAAGGCGTAAAGAGGCAACGACGCGTGTCGCAGTTATCGGGGCGATTTAGGCCGAGGATTTCGGTGCTTCTACCTACTTCGTGCGGATTGTCCATTTTGCAAGGGAGCGGTAAAAAAATGTCAGGGTCGAAGGAGTCGACGTTGAATACTTTTGTCGCAGTTGACTTTGAATACTTTTGTCGAATGGCATAAATAGAGACGGCGATTGCGATAATCGAGTGCATTAGTCTTGGATACCGATGGACGATGGACAATAATATCCTCTCGACTGCTCTGGTCTGACTGTGCGCGACAGAATTATCATTAGAGCGGCTTGAACGGTCGTGTATTAACGGTTTTGGAAATGTGGGGAGCGTTTCAGCGTATTCGACGAGGCGTATCGAATTTATTAGAAGCGTTCGGTTTCCGACTATCGGCGGCTGATTCTTCATCACGCAAACGGGTAACGATTCCGCGTCGATCGTGTGAACGAGAGGCCGTTAAAAAGTCGCTAAGGCGAAATAGGCGACGAAATCTTGCCAATTAGCTGGCACTTGATGCTCGTTGGAGCAACGTCTTATTCTTTCAGTCGAACGTGGCTTGGAACGAAGCGAGAGAATGCGCGATAACTCTTTATCACTCGAGCGCTCGCCGCTTCGTCGCTTCTTATCGCGAGCGCACGCACCAACGATCACTCATCCACGCGCTTAGATTCGCGCGCTTCGTGCACCTACATTATTACGAGCGTTTGCTATCTCTCTATCTCTCGCCCTAACTTACTCACTCGTCCCCCCCTCCCCCCTCCCTCCCTTACCGCCACCTCCCACCTAACCCTACCCCCTCATCATCCCCTCTCTCTCTGAATCAGGATTAAGATACTCTCTTTATAATCGACGCTGAGCCTGCTCTCGTCCGCGACTAAACGACTTACGTCTCGCAAGAGCGAATGGTTACGGTAAAGTGCGATTACGCACCTGTGAGACGTGTGCGCTGCTCGTTGCACATATGGTCGATGTCACGCTCGAGCACCGGGAGCTTTACTCGATAAAGATAAGGCTTTGACCTAATTTCGATCGTTGCTCATTGGGAGGCAACAACGACCACTCTCGCCCACTCGTTATTATTCTCATCCTAGTAGGGCCCCGCCTTATTAGAATATCATATCGATAGACAACGACTAGATTGGGGTAAAAGTCACGGACTATCGTACCTCTACGAGAACTAGCCGTTAATTTCGCGATTTGTGAATTTAACGAGGCAGGAGGGGCTTTCTCTCTCTCTCTCTCTCTCTCTCTCTCTCTCGCGGTATCTTCGTGAGGCGTGCGAAAAGGTTTCGTCGCCTTATCGCGTGGCGCGATATCCCCGGGAGCGGTGCTCCCACTAGCGGGTGTCGACCAACGGCATACGTACGCACGTGCGACTCCGGACCTGGTATACCAATATTTTTGACGCCTACGCCTATTTTTTCTGCCATCTGAATCTCCTCCTCCCTCCTCCACCTTGCCTCACTCTCTCTACCGCGTCGTTTCTATTTGTGGAGTGGACCCCCCGTGCCACCTTGCCCCCCGTGCGACCTAGCCCCTTGCCACGCCGACTCGCTCGCAGCCACTAAAATTGGAAAATTCGAGGCTCGAATTAGCCGAGCGCCAGATTCGTCATCCTCTCCCTCCCTCACCTGCGTGCACGTTACCACGTGAGATCAATCGTTTTTCTTTCGCTTTCGCTCTTTTGCGCGCATTATTATCGGCGAGCTGGCGCTTATGCAACGACTCATTAATTGTAATTATATATCTCGGTATTCTAGTCGGGTTTCTTCATGGCATTAACGGCTTCGTGTTGCTTAGCGAGTGTACTGGACTTCCGTCCGTTCGGGTGTTCGGGCCGCTTTGGCGGTCTCCGCACGATAGCGGCGATCGATTTGACACGTAGTAATCGACCGAGTGCCCAGAGTTCCCGTCGTCCCATTCCGTTGTGCCACCGCGTTGGTGAAATCGCGTCGTCGACCGGTTCTTATTGGCTGCGTTCGTTTATAATGCGACGCAAGAGGGCCAGCGGGAAACCATGGGAGGTTGGTGGGCAAGGGAGGCGATGCGATTTTTTCGCACGCAAGTCAAAATGACTTTGTGCAGCTCAGCTTCAATAACGGAGAAGGCGCGCGCTTTTGTGTTTATTTGCATTGGATTCGCGAGCGCGTAGCGGTGAGCGATGGGCAATCGAGTTGATGGATGGATTCGCAGTGCCGATCGGTCCAAGGGTTCTGGAACTAACGCGCGATATAATGGGGGTAAGTATTTTCTCGCACTCGGCTGGTGAGTTTCGTATATTATCGTCGCGATGAATTTCGCATTAAGACGCGACCCCCACATGCATCAAAGACCCATCGATCGCTCGTCTCGCTTCCTTCCAATTTCTACGGCCACAGCTGTTTAAAGCTTTGGATTTACACCAAGGCTACGGATATTCTTGGTTATTAATATTCGAGCACACAATGCCGCGTATTCAAAACCTAGTGTAAGTGATCGATGTATAAAAAAAAAAAGAAAAAAAAAAAACAAAAAAGATTAGAAGACTATGAAGGCGATTACTACATTGGCAACACGATTGTTTTACAATAAAATGAGCAGCTTAGTCTACTAAAGGTTAATTTTTATGACTCTCATTTGAAAAAAGGACCGTAATCACGAGTTTAATAGCCTCGTAATAAAAACGAAAATTATTGCCATCGCGCATCCAATTAAAGCTGGAGTCGTGGAGAAAGAAGAAAAGAAGGGGAAAAAAAAAGAATCTCCATACGCGCGTAATATATGATTGAATGGCAGGAATTCTCGTCTGATTATTTTTATCGGGTAAAATTTGTCTCGGGTGCGCGAGTGCTGAAACGGTCTACCATGATAAAAAGGCAGCGCCGCCGCCGCCGCCACCGCCCAAATTCATCGGCTGTGAAAGCCACGAATACGTTTGTGCGAATAAAGAAAAATGAAATGAGCGGAGAAATCGAGTTGCGCGGGGCAGCGACTACGGAGGCGAGACCCGAGGATTTTCGGGCATTACGCAACGCTGCAAAAAGGATGGAAAAGAAGACGACGTTGGGACCAAGGGGAGATGTTTGGGAGGTAGGGAGGGGGGGGGTCGAGAGAAGGGGAGCCGGGGCCAATAAAAAGAGAGCCGACGGTGCTCCTCGTGGTTGAAGCGCCTCACGAAAGTGTCTCCCTCGCGGTGGCGCAGCAGCAGCGGCAACGTCAGCATCCGACGCGCCAGATGTCGAACGAAAGGGAGAAGAAAGGCACGTGGAAGATGGATATCCCGGCGCAATGGATTACGTGGGTCCCGGCCTTGAGTGCGTGCGTCCGTGCATGCGTACGTACGTGCGCGCCTCTCGCTTC